TACTACTTGAGCAATGCTTCCACTCCTTTCTACTTTAGTTTTTTTATTTTAAACAGGATCTCAGCATTCTAATCTGGGGCTGACCTCAGACCACGGTCCTCCTATTTATGCTTCCCCTGGAGCTGGGATGGCAGGCATGTACTATCATGCCCAGCTTATGTGTTGAGATGGGTGGGGGGGGTCTCATAAATTTTTTGTCCAGGCTGGCCTTGAACCACAGTCTTCCTGATCTCCTTCTGAATAGCTGAGATCACAGGCGTGAGCCACCACACACGTGCTGTTTAACTTACGTGGGAGGCGTAAATAGGAGGATCATAGTCCAAGCCAGCCTGGGCAAAAACATGAGACTCTACTCAAAAAAATAACTAAAGCAAAAAGGTCTGGGGTCGTAGCTCAAGTGGTTGAGCGAGGCTCTCTCATTTAGTTGTCCCCAGCCTTTGTACCACTGCCAGAGCTGCCAGACCCCACGGTGAGAGGACTTGTGGCAAGAGGTCCCTGGAACTATGCTGGTCTGATCACTGACACCCAAGGCAAACTAGAGAATATGAGTGGGAGCACTTGTAATTTTATCACAGTAACATTAGTGTGCTGGTCACTGTCCATCACTGACCACATGCGGAGCCAATCAACTTGGAAGCAGGAAGGTTTGTTTTGGCTCATGGTTCAGAGGTCTAAGTCCATGGTCACCTGGTCCCTCCCTGTGGGCCTGTGATGAGGCCCAGCATCATGGCGGAGAGGCTGTAGTGGAGCAGAACTGCTCACTTCATGGTGACCAAGAATCAGAAAGGAAGGACTCAGGGACAAGATACACCTGTCAAAGTCAGTGACCTACTTCCTCCAACTAGGCCATAGCTCCTACTAACCTATTCAACTGTGAACTCAGCAATGGGTTAATCCACTGCTAAAGTTCCATTGATGAAATTAGCACTCTCGTGATCCAATCACCTCTCAGTAGCACCACCAGCTGGGGACCAAGCCTTCAGCGCATGAGTCTTTTGGAGGAACACTATATCCAAACCATAACAATAGGGATGAATAATAACTACTAATTCTCGTGAGACCATGCCTACCATTTATACGCTTGTGTTTCAAGCACTGTCCTAAAATTTTTGTGTATAGCAATACATAGAAAATACATACTGATGCCAGGTATGGTGGTCGATGGTTGTAATCCCAGCACTCAGGAGACCGAGACAGAATTGTGAGTTCAAAGCCATATCTGAGCTTCGGAGTGAAACCTCGTCTCAAAAAAAACAAACAAACAAATAAACAAAAACCCTTTCATACTGGCCAATCACAATCACAAGTATCATTCATCACCAGGCATTATTCTGGGTGCTGGAGACAGCGGGGCTGAGGCCGGGTGTAGGCCCCACTCACAGAGCTGTCCTCTGAGTCTTTCTATGAGAAGGTAAGTGTGGAAAGCATGCTCACTGCTGTGAAAAAAAAAATAAAGCAGGGAAGGGGGGAGAGCAGGGAGGGGGCATCACAGCTTCCAGTGTTCTCTCCTGCTTGGTGCCACTGTCAGCATCTTTGAGCGTGACATTTCACTGGTGCCTCTGCAGCTCCAAGAGTAATATTGGCTTTGAGGCAGGTCCCAGCAGAGAGCCTCAGTCTGGGGAGGGGGAGTCTTCCCCCTGGGTCTCCTGGAGGTCTCTCAGGCCTTTCCTCGCTATGGGGAAGGCCTGGAGCTGTGACAACTGCAGGTTCTGGGCAGTCCCCTACCCGCCTCTACCCTGGACAGAGGGGGTCGGCTCACAAATACGAAGAAGCCTTTGATCGGCATGGGACCCCCAGGGTTCTGACTGTTTTTTGTTCCAAACCACAGGCCAGGATTGCATTCTGCCTTGCCTCCAGCTGGGAAAGGCTTTGGGTAGGTGGAGTGTGTGTGTGCGCGCATGCATGGCACATGCTTGGGGAGGGGGTGGGAGGCTCACGTGGATCTTTGACTCTCTCCAATGAGCAGGCTAGGCACACATCATCTACTACATCTAAGGAACCAGCAGCAGACCCAATGGGTTCCCTGCCCAGGGTCTGTGTTTTAGCTGGGGACACAGCCAGCCAGCACAAGAGCAGTGGGCTCAGGAATGTTAGGTGGTCATGAGCACAACACGAGGGAATGGAGCTGAGAAGCAGGTGGGCAGGTGTGAGTTACCTCTGCACAGGGTGTTTAGGGACCTTCCTCAGACAATGTACATCTGGCAGAGACCTGAAGGGAATGCAGGAGGCAGTGGAGGAAGTATTCCAGGTGTGTAGGAAGGTGAGGAATGGGGTGGGTGGGTGGAAATGGGGGAGTAGAGTGGGGAGAAGGTAAGCCCTGGGTGGGGCAGGTGCTTCCATGGACCCTGAGGGAGGTGGGGACCAATGGAGTGTTCCGAACAGAGGAATGACGGGATCCAAATTGAGATGTAGGATTCCTCAAGCTACTGTGGGGAAGGAGGGCACAGCAAGGAGTCCTGTGAGGAGGAAGCTGGGAAGGTCAGGCATAGGATCACGAGGCCCTGGAGCCAAGGAGCAACGAGGAGGAGGAACATAACCATAGGTTGTTTGTGTATTCATAAGCTTTTTAGAGAAGTGAACTATAAATACAGAAAAGCTCACATATAAGCAAGTGTGCATACACTTTGATGGAGTTTTACAAACCAAATCCACCTGTGGACCCAGCACTGAAATAAGAACTAGAACTTCCCATCTGCCAGGAGCCTCCTGTCCCTGCCCTCCCCTAGGCACAATAACTCTCCTAGCTCCTGATTACATTTTCCAAGTAAAGTTGCCAGATTTGCTGCTGTGTTGGCTAGACTGGGGTTGGACATGGAGTCACAGGAGCCCCACTCCCCCCATTCAGGGCTGAGGGCCGGGTCCGAGCTGTCCTTTCCTAAGGTTGTGGTAGGAGCAGAGACCAAGGATGGAACCAGAAGGCTATTTGGGACTTGTTGGGTTGGAGACACCAGGGGAGGTCCCAGACTATCTTCTCTAGGGGTTGCAAGCACAAAACACAAATGCCCAAATGCTCTTAGGGCCAAGTAACATGGGGGTGACGAGGGGAACAAGGTCTGAGTGAGAAACATTCTGCTCCCCTCTCAATTCTGTAAGAACTGCAGCACAAACGTGCAGATGGATGGTGACTGGCAGGTGGCCTGAGTGGAGACAAGAGGAAGGGGTGGTGATGTCTTAGGAATGGGGAACATGTGGCTGGTTCTCCTGGCAATATTTCCAAAGAAGTTCAGATATGTCGATTATTGTATGACACCATCCCAAGTGTTTTAACAATGGTGACTAAAAAATAACAAACATTACCTGGGTACAACAAAAAATGTCTTCATGGTCAGCAATCAGTTTGATTCACATCAAATGCTTCACTTTGAAGACAGGGAAACTTAGGCCCAAAGAAATCTGGCACTCTCCCCAAACTCATAGTTTGCTGGAAATAGAGACTGGCCAGACCTAGTAGGCTAGAGCTCCTGAGGTTATCTTGGACAGGTCTGGAGTCAAGCCTGTCACTCCCGTCTTTGATCTAAACATGCAGTCCAATGATTCTACAGGCCCCAACTTGATGAGAAAGGCAGTAGAATGCTGTGAACAGCGTGTCTTGCAAGACTGGGAGCCATATCTGTCTGGGTTGGAATGCTTAGGGCTTCAAGTGACAGAACACCTGAATGACAGCAGCTTCAGGTTCAAAGATGTCTACATATGTGCATAATATGCAGGGGAAAGAAGATTTGAGGGCTGATGTCAGGAAGGACAGGCTCACTTCAGTTAAATTGGTTATAGCTAACGTGTTGAGGAGTGAGTAAATGAAGATCAAGGGTGAAAGGAGGAAACGAGAGAAAGCAGGAATTGGGAAGAAAAGAGGGAAGTAGAGGAGAGAGTAGAAGGAGGCAGGAAGGAGAGGGGAGAAGGGGAAGTGGAGAGAAGTTTCTCCTTTACCTCTACCTGTCTGCAGAGAATGACAGTAACTTGCGACCTCTGGTGGCAAAAGAGGCCCACAGTCCTTTGAGGTTGCAATACTCCTAATTAGACTCAGGAGACACCTCATTCCCAAAAACGTTGTTCAGGCAGGACTGTGAGGACCTGGGCTTCCCCATCAGGGCCCAGGTAGTGAGTGACAGCTGGCCATATTAGGGAGGCAAGTGAGGCACTTGTCTAGGGCACAAATTAAAGGGGGATACTAAAAACTCAATAATCAAGAAAAATATTTATAGTTTTAAAAATCAAATCTGCAAACTATGACTTACAGGCCAGCTGCCTATCTTTGTAAATAAAGTTTCAAAGAAACCAGAGTCAGGATTAGGTTATACTTTGCTTCATCAGATTATACCCCATATGGTTTCACTAATGTGGGCCTTCCCAAATACCTCAGCCAGTGCTGGCATCTGAACTCAGTTTTCCTGCTCCTGAAACCAGACTGTCAAACTTCCTTCCATACTACTTCACCATTATGACTGTCTACTTCCTGTGATGTAAATCCTCTATCTACATAAACTTAAAGGAGCTTTGTATCAATCACTGCTTACCACTGCATATCTGTGTCTACATATACACTCAAAACAGTTTCATAAAGAAATACACTTTCTAATCTATGCTTGATTTTTAAATGTTGGTTATATCACACTAAATTGTTTTAAGTTGAACACATCATGTACACAACAACAAAACCACTGGACTAAAGGGCTGATAAAGACAAACTATCCCCAACTGAGACTGAAGAGAATAATGTTCTCATGATATGGTTCAATGCCACCGCTGTGACAGGAGGAATACAAGTCACAATATGGGAGAAAGCCTGCCCTAGACTGGTTTTATGCTTTTCTGGGGGAAGTAGAGGGTGGTACTGGGGCTTGAACTCAGGACCTTTCACTTTATCACTTGAGCCACACCCAAGTCCCTAGATTATTTTAAATACCCAATTCTACCTGAAACATGTCTTATGTACATAATAAACTCCTGAGAACAGAGAACTGCAGATGATAATGGCACTTAACAAGATGATCACAGAGCACTTAAAAATATCCCAACACCTTTATTTAGGTCTAATCTCACTCATAGCATTTCTTCACATTTACTTTGAAAAACAGCTGAACTGTGTGTGGTTATCACACACACTCTTCTACCCAACCATGGACCTTTTTCTGCCTCTCAGGCGTACTTCATCCAATTTCTTTAGCACTGGCCTGGACTTTTTGGAGGAGGTGGAGTAGCTCTTCAGACAGGCCTCAAACACAGGCTCGGTGTTGGGGTGGGTGCTGAGGAAGGCTTTCTCTAGGACGTAGAGGTCAACTCCCTTGTCCTCTGGAAGTCCCGAAATGAAACTGAGCCCAAAGTCTATGAGCACCAGGTTGAGCTGCTCGAGGGGTGGCTTCAGCAGCATATTGGAGGTGGTAAGGTCACCATGGATGAGGTCCTCATCGTGCATTCGAGCCAAAACCTGCCCAACTTTCTTGGCTAAGCCAAAGAGGCTCTGGGGAGTTTTTTCAGTCTCCATAGTAGATTGAATATAATCTCGAACAGTCACTGAGCCTTCAATTTCCTCCATATATAAGCAGTTACAAACATAGTCCACAAAAAAGACAACTGGGGCAGATATTCCTGCAATCAATACATAAGCGGTTAGTGGCTTAAATTCCTTTTCTTCTTTTTACAGTAGGCTTTATTTTCAGACTGAGCTGGTTTTCCAGACTAAATCTACTTATTTGAGAAGATCTAGGAATGCTGTAGAAAATGGCACAGCTTCTCCAGATGTCTGTCTCCCCCACACCCCCCCACACACACTCAAGCCCAGTGGGACTATGACTGAGCCCACCCAAGTTAGGTATAGAGGTGCCAAAGCTCCCTCCTCCTCCCAAACACCCTTTACAACTGGACTTCATCACCACACTTACTCCGTAAAAAGTAAACAAAGAGTCAGAGGGGAGGCTAGGCCCAGTCAGAGCAGTTTTTGACAAGGACACAAACAGGAGGCTAAGCAGTCTGTCTGTTTAGAAATTCATCTTTGTGAAACCCTGAAGTCACACTAACTTCTCTAAGCCTCAGCTTCTGCTGTTTCAAGGACAATTCCTTCAACTAATGAATCTTTACTGAATGTCAACCATGCTTGGGACACCTTCTAAAAACTGACGACAGGCATGTCAACGGGGGACACGGAGGTAAACAAGGCAGCTCATGTTTAATGCAACTTTTATCACAAAGTAAAATGGAAATTGTGAAATTTAACTTCATTAAACTTAGTTCAAGGGGTACTAATGTACCTGCTTGCTCACCACTTAATTTCCGCCCCCCTTCCCCAGCTCTTCCAGTACCTAACAATGTCCTTGTGCACAGTAGGTGCCTAAAAAAAAAAAAAAAAAAAAAAAACCTAGTGAGAAAAAGGCAAGAATTATAAAAGCAAAAGGCCAACGCTTCTGAATCAGAGGGATCGGCCACTTACTAGCTGTGCAACCTTGGGCAAGTTACTTTCCCTCTCTGAGCTTCAGTTTCTCATCTGAGGACAGTGTTTCTGGTGGCGACACACAATGATGTCGTAATGGGGAAAAAATGAACGACTTTAAAGAAATCTGACATTTATTGAGGGCTATGTATCGGGCACGCATTCGAACGTGATGCACGGCATACACACGTCGCCTAACGGTCTCCGTCACGAATGCCTTTACTTCCCTTTTCCATTACAGGTTGAGGAAACTGAGGCGGAGAGGTTCAGCACTTCTTGGAATGCTACACGTGAGGCAGCGAATCCCGACAGCCTGGCCCTACGGCAAGTGCTTGTCATCACATCTGCTTCCTAAGACTAATGAACGAGGAGACAGCGACAGCAAACTGAGCCGGTGAAATGGGAAGCGGGCGCATGTTCACTGCGGAGCAACAGTGGCAGAGCCGAGCCGAGCAGCCAGCGGCATGGCTCTCGGACAAATGCGGGTTGCTCCGAGACCACGCGACCTCCTAAGAATGAACGAAGACAGGAGCGAGAGGCCACTTCCTAGAGGCCTAGGAAGACGGTTCGAACGCAGAAACTACGGAGCTGGGTATCGGGGCCGCCTTACCTACGCGGCGGCAGCGCAGCAGCGCGCGGGCCTCCTGCACCGTCCGCCGCCGGCCGAGTCGCGCCTCCAGCGCTGGGTGCCGGTAGCCCTTGGGGAAGCGGTGCTTCACCACGGCCGCGCGGCCCTGGAAGTGGCCGCGGAACACCCGCGCCTCGGCGCCTTGCTTCACCAGCTCCAGGCTGCTCAGGAAGCGGCTGTTCCGCTCCCGGGCCGCGGCCAACGCCTCAGCCTCCGCCGAAGCCGCTTCCGTAACCTCAGCCATTACCACCACACAGCCCTACTACTCTTTCCGGAAGCTGCCGTAGGCGCTTCCGCCCGCTCCGGAAACCCTCGACTTCTTCCGCAACTCAACACCTCCCCTCCGACACTTCCACCCTGTGGGAGTGGTTCCGCCTCCCGACCTTTCCGCCCTTTGCGAGATCTTTGGTATCTCTCAGGAACCGCTCTTGTGGTCCGCCCCTAGCCTTCGTCCATCTCCGTACTCATTCGGCAACTCTCGGTACAATTCCTCACTTCTCGGCTCTCTCCGGAAACCCTCGGTAACACTCCCGGAAGGCTTTGGGGCCGTCCCAGTTTTTCGGCTCTTTCCGGAAAACTTCGGCCTCTCTCAAGGAAATCGCTTTGGGATTTTCTGCTCCTTCAGTAGTCTTCTACATCCTGGAAAGATTTGGCTCCTAGTGGCCTCTTTTTTGGGCTCCTCGCCCCTTGACTCCTGAACTCCCCCCCCCGCCCCCGCACAGGGGCTTACCTAGCCAAAGCAGACAACAAACCATTTCTCCATCGTCTTAGGTGCTAGGATCATGACTATTTATGGAATGCGTTCAGGAGTAATAAGGGTAAATGATAAAACCTTTCTTGCAGAAAATTGAGTCTCAGAGAGGGTTGTGGGGGAGGAGATGAGAAATCAAACTTAAGCTTTCTGATTCTCTCGGTTTCATTACAAGGCTAACATGGGCCGTCACAGATTCTTACAATACAAAATTGTGTACACACTCACAAATCCAAAACAGCCCATGCCCTTCACCAATCTACAACACCACTGACCATTATATAAAGTTTCCAGATTTGTGTTATACATCAGGCATATCACACACACATAATTATGGGTTTTTTCCCAGCATAGATGAGATCATAGATAGATGAGAAAGTCCCATCACTCTCTGGGGCAGAAGTTAAACACTATTAAGTTCTGCTAAATACTATTAAGTACTGTTAAGTGCTATTAGAATTGTTAGTTGTGCTGAGCTTTTGTCTTTATTGGAAACACTTAATGCTTTCTGGGAATGATTAAAATTGTCATGGCTGGTCCTTCAACAGGCCCTTCCCTTATGCCTGGGCACCTTGAACTTGCCTTGACTGTGAGCCAAGCAGCCCTCTTTGGCAGTTGGCCAAACTATACTCATGCCTCACTGCCAAAGCACAACTCTGGCTCCAGTAGGCACTGTTCAGCCACAACTGCTTCAAGCAGCTTTCTCTGGTCTTTTTGATATCACGAGCCCCGGTGAACTCTAGAAGCCATTGTCACCCAGGCCAGAGGGGAAGTACTTCGCCTGGTGGCCCAGCAGAAGGCCTGGGACTAGTGCAAACATAATCCTTCATTTACATGAAGGGCTCTGCTGTGATTGGTTCAAACACCTGTGCCCTTCCTGGCCATGTAAATAAGCTGTTGGGCTGACTTTTCAAGTCAGCTGGGAGACACAATCCTGTGTTGTCACACATTAGGCCCAATAAATGATGTCCCAAATGGTCTTTTCTTTACTGACTTTTGATTTTTATCATAAGAAGAGTGAACTGAGCTGGTAAACATCAAGTGGAGACAGCAACAAGAAGGCGACTGAAGAGTTCCAGAGAACAGCCAGGGGCAGAGAGAGCAGGGGGCCAGAGGGGTGAAAACAACACAGGATGGTAGAAATACAGAAAAGACTGTGAAAAGCCTAAGACAGGGGGCTGGAGGAGTTCCAGTGGGCCACATCTTTTGGTTCCACTTCAGCAAGTGCTCGTCAGAATTAAATATGATGCTGATCACATGGAGATAGTGGACAGCAGACTGGTTTCCCATGTTCAGGGTCCTCACCCCTCCCCCTCAGTCCTTGGGGCCCGGTTGGAAATACTGAAGAAAGGCCTTTTGGTCTGAGGGTTGCTATGACACCAGTGTCATAGCAATGTGGTCCCGGGTTTCATTCACTCACACGGCAGGTCCCTTTTCAAACATTAGGCCCTTTTGTTGGCAGAATGCAGTTTCCAGTGTCTTTCATGAGCCCAGACCACTCAAAGCTCACCCAGAACAGATTCTATTTATAACATCCAGTTTCTCAAATTCGGGGGTTCATTATCATAATTGTTTGTGTCCACATAGCCATCACTATGGTTACCAAATCTGTCTGAACCCCTGCTTTAGAAATCTACTGTGCAAACATATTTACTAGAGCCAAGCTTGTTACAGTCAGATGGGTTCTGGCTTCTTTAACTCATTTCAGACCTCTCAATGGCTCCTCCCTGTGCTTAAGATAAAGACACCATCTTTAATTCAGCCTTGTAAGGCCCTGCAAGGAACCTCTGCATCCTCTTCCAGACCCTTCTCCCACCAAACCCTCCCTTGTTCTCTGCTTTTCAGACACCTTTATCTTCTCTGAAGCTCTTGCCATACTCCATCTTGCCACAGGATCTTTGCATCTGCTCTTTCCTCTGTTGGAAATGCTCTTCCTTCCCTTTGTTGCCTAGACTCATGGAGGAGGCATCTTTCCCTTCTCAGCTCAAGTGGCAGGCACTCAAGGAAGCCCTGCCACCCATCAGAGGAGAGGAAATCCAATAGTTATAAGTCCCAGTGCCCCTCAGAGTCTCTCCTCTCTAGCACTGTCACAGAGTCCTTTGTTCCTATGACTATTTAATTAATGCCTACCTCCCCATCTAACTACCAGCCTGCTGTTTCCTCACCCCCTACAGCTCTGAGAGGAAAGGAAATCTTACCTTGTGCACAGGATAAAGAAAAAAATTTTTTTTCAAATACTCTTTTTTTTTTTTGACTGTCAAAGAGTGAAGGAGTGGAGTTGACAGTTGACTACTTATAATCACTCTTCAGCAGCCATGGTTGACGGCTGTTCCCAATGGGTGTCATTTCCTCAGGGCTCCTGGCCTCTGGGGCAGACCAGTGTGCACTGCAGTGGTTAGGGAAGAGGCCGAGCGCGGTGCTGGCAGTGCCACCCAGCAAGGATAACTTTTCATTATTCATGACTATAGTGGCGGGAAGTGACAAGCAGCACAGCAGGGCTCATGGTAGACACAGCTGGACTTTGGGGCTCAGGCAGTGGCATCTGAGTTTGTATCTGGCTGCCTCTCAGCAGTCTTTTCTATGGTGGCTTTGTCCTCAGGCAGGCCCCCTTCTCAGGATGAGCAGTCAGTCTACCCTCTGGTTGTTTATTTGTTGTGCAGCAATTATGTGAGGACAGCAACAGCAAATACACAAGGACACATCAGAGCTGTCTGGCCCATCGTCATCGCTTTCCAATGGCTCTGTTAGGTTTCCAGGCTCTGTCACTTCTGGGCACTGTGTGGGACCCACGAGAACCTTGCCCGAGGTCACCTGTGTCCCATGCACCCGGTTTTGAGATGGACACTGGTATCTTTGGAGTTGCATACAATTCATCACGATTTTTCCAGCACTCTTGATTTTTTTTTAAAGAAAATTTACTTGCCTTCACTAAAAAAGAACCCAGGAAAGATCATGGTCCCCTTATGGAAGACCTGTTAGCACCATGTCTGTATTTCCACCACAGGCTGAGCACCAGTCCAGCTGCCCCAGCTAGGCCAGATCAGTGGTTGTCAAACTTTTTCTGTAAAGGTCCAGAGACAGTCTGCTGATATGACTGCTCCACGCCACAGCTGAGGAACAAAAGCTACATGGAAAGTATATGAGTGAACAGGCACGGCTGTATTCCAGTGAAACTTCGTGGACACAACAAGGCAGGTGGTTATCATTTGCGACTCCTGCTGTGGACATATGGCCTTCGGTGTGTCAGTTTTCACCACTCCACATTGCCTTATGGCCAGCTCACTTCTGCCATTCCTAATGCCTATGCAGACCCTGTAGGCTTTGGAACTTGCAGCTGTCTGGGGTCCTTCTGCTGTGCTCCAATAGGAACTAGGAGTAGCAAGGAGAAGCAGTCCTGGACCCTTGAGGACCAAAGGCTTATGGACTGGCTTACTCAGAAGCTTATGGCTCCAAGGCCTGAGAAGTAGAGGTTTATGGCTCCAGCCCCTGGGGGCCAGAGACTTGCAGCTCTGTGTGCTCAGGTTGGAGGCTACTAACCTGGGCTTTAACTGCTAGGGGCCTGGCACTTGGCCGCTATTCAAACTCAGATGTCAGTCTTTACAGTGACTGGCGTTAGTAATTGGACATTGGATGTTGAGATCCTTGGCCCTCAGGGCTTGACAGCTTCCTGGAACATTTCTAGTGATGGGGGCTTATATTCCCTTGTCCTCAGTTCTTCATAGCGTTCTCTGTACTCTTACTGTCCTCTGTTGTCTTTGCTGCCTCTTCTCCCCACCATCTCTGAGTTCTTCTGTGATAAAAATTACAAGTAGGCAAGAGAAGACCATTCAGGAGAAGCCTTTCATTGAACCTAATGTTTCAATACTGAGGGGCTACACAGAAGTTGGTCTCTCAGCCAAAGTGAGCTAATAGCCTATTTATATAGCTAGGTGTGTGTGGCGGGGGAGGGCAATGTCTGTGTTATGCAAATGAGGGATTGTGTTTGCACCAGCCACAGCACAGCTTCCAGTTCCACCAATCACAAACCCCACATAGGGACCAATGCAAGTCCCACATTGCACCAATCACTGGCCTCTGTCTGAGTTTCTGAGGAGGTGTTCCCCCTCCATCCTGAAGGACAACAGCTTCTATTGCCTGAAATGCTGCCTTCCAGGGCCTGTCCAGGTTATCTGGAGCCATGGTGACTGTAAGCTGTGGTGATCTCAGAGTGATCACAGAGTATCACCAGGGCAGCAGTCCAGCCACTTGCTAGAGAAGGTTGATACATGCCCCCCTCCAGGCTGCTAGGCATAAGGGAAGGGTCTATCCACTGACATTCAAAGGACTGAACAACTGCTCCTGGAAGTTTTGTTCATTTGCAGAAAAAAAAATTATAGTGCTTACTATAAAGGCTTAAAGAAAGCTCAAATCAAAGCTAACATTCTCAACAGCATTTAACAGTAGTTAGCAATGCTCAACAGTGCTCAACCCCTGCTCCAGTGTCCTGGGAGGGTTGGGTCCCTCTATCTGTCTCACCTGATCTCTGTTCTTTTAAAGTGTAGACTCTGGAGAACAAAACCCAGGAAGTTCTGTTAGCTCGGTGAATGAGAGGAAGATAAAAAATCCTTCAGCAGTTACTATTGAG